AGTTCCATCTGTAAAAGATGCTGTTCCAGACATACAGTACCCGGGTGTTTACAAACTAAAGTGCCTCTGTGGTAGTAGCTACATTGGAGAAACCAAAAGACATATCTCGGACCGCATCCGCGAACACAAAGCAGACTTGAAACACGGTAGGACGAACTCCTCTGCCGTGGCAGATCACTGTTATAATTCAGTGGGCTCACATGACATTGACTTCTCCAAGACGGAGGTTCTTTGCAAACCAACCGGCTACCATGAGAGATTCGTTCATGAGGCCATTCACATATACAAGCACAGAGACAATTTCAACCGAGAAGATGGATTCTGGCTTAGTAACCATTGGAAAGATGTTTTAAACCATTTCTGTTCTTAATTAATTGTATTTTACGATGACCTTCAGACCGCAGCTCTTTCGCCAGCATTGACTCTTAATACCTCTCACACCACGGTTAATGGTATGGTTTACAACATGGAGTATAATCGCGCCTCGCAGCTGTCCCTCTCCCCCTCCTCTGTTCCGACCATGGATGAACTCGTCCGTCTGAACGGGGTCCGTAGCTATCCGTGGTGCTAAAGTTGAGGGTAAGAATCCACCCATTTTTTCGCCATATAGCATTGTGATATATAACGACGTATTGTTGGTAGCTTAGCTGATTGGAGAATATAGAGTTTATTGATAACATTAAGGTAATTTATATCTTAGTTTTTTTTTTTTAAATTGGTTCACTATATAGTACTGTGAATAGCTCAGATGTGTAGGCCTTGACTTCAACATAGTCATTTCTGTGACCAGTCACTAGCTAATCATTCAGTTATTTCAATGCTAAATTCGCCTAGTTATTTCAATGCTAAATTCTCCTGTTTGATTTGTACTAAGTGCCTCGGTGAATGTGTATGCTCTGACTTTAACGTAGCTATTTCTGTGACCAGTTACAAGCTAATGACTCAGCTATTTCAATGCTAAATTCTATGCTAATTCCTTTGTCAAGGGGTGCCTCTGCGGATGTGTATGCTTTAACTTAGCTATTTCAATGCTAAATTCTATGCTAATTCCTTTATCAAGGGGTGCCTCTGCGGATGTGTATGCTTTAACTTTTAACATAGCTATTTCTTTGACCAGTCACAAGCTAATCACTCAGCCATTTCAATGCTAAATTATATGCTAATTCTTTTGTCAAGGCGCTTTGTTTCCTCTCACACAGCTTAAATGTCGTGATCTGAACGTGGCTCTTTCACTCCAGCGCTGTCCTACCAGACAGTCTCGTCCCTTCACCTGATGAAGGCCGCTTGTGTTGTGGCCGAAACGTCGTGAGAATATTATTGTGTTATTTTATTTTATCAATTTATTATTTTATTCTCATTCTACGTGACTTTACCGAAAGAACCAAAGAAGATGAATCATTGCAGTCACGAAAGCTTTAAATCGAAATATAGCCACTATTCCTAAGAATGCTAAGAAACCCATTAGTAACATCAGCAAAAATGAACGCTCTGAACTCGCGAATTTAAAAAACAGAAGTGATATAGTCATCCTCTCAGCCGATAAAGGCAACGCTACTGTTATTATGGATAAAGATTCATACAACAACAAAATTAGAATCTGCTCAACGATGGAAGTTACTCAAAAATAAAAAAATGACCCTACCAATAGCCTAGCGATAAAAACCAACAAGATCATCACAAGTTCGACCTCCCTAATCGACCCAACTAAACGTCCCTCCCTAAAACCTTCTGCTGCAAGACCCCCTAGATTCTATGGTCTTCCCAAGATTCATAAAGAAGGCACCCCACTACGACCCATCGTATACACGATCAACTCCCCTACCTATAGACTAGCCCGTTTTCTGTCAGATACCTTGCTGCCTTTCACTGGCAAGACCGCCTCAGCAGTACTTAACTCAGCCCAATTGGTCTCTATTGTCAAAGACGTTGTACTGTCCCCTGACGATATCCTTGTCAGCTTCGATGTGGTCTCTTTGTTCACCAAGGTCCCAGTACCTGATACTATTGAAATAATTGAAAATTTGGTCCAACATGGACTAGCCCCGACACACCTGCACTGGTTAGGCACTGCCTCAACAATACCTACTTTACTTGGAATGGCTCCTTCTACAAACAAAATGAGGGTACCCCCATGGGATCCCCCTTGTCACCAGTGATAGCCAATATTTTCATGGAGAAATTTGAATCAGACGCCATCCAGACTTCCACCCTCAGACCTTCTCTGTGGAAGAGATATGTGGATGACACTTTTGTCATTTGGCCACATGGCCTCCCAGCTCTGAACCTTTTCCTACACCACATTAATTCCAGACATCCCGCCATCAAATTCACCATGGAAGTGGAGAAAGATGGCAAGCTACCATTCTTAGATGTTCTGTTTGAGAGGAGACATGATGGCTCATTGGAGCATTCTGTCTACAGGAAACCCACCCAAACAGATTCCTGCTTGAAACCTGATTCCCACCACCACCCAGCCCAAAAGAATTCTCTCATCAAAACTTTATACCATAGGGCTCATTGCATTTCGGACCAACACCACCTGACTAGTGAATTAAAACATGTACACCTGGCCCTCAAAAGGAATGGTTACTCTGACCGTACCATCCGCCAAGCTGTTTCTCCCTCCATACAGAAACAACCACTTGATACTCCGGTCAAAACCATCACACTACCATATATAGCAGGCGTTACTAAAAAGATTTCCAAAATTCTAAACAAACACAAGATCCAGGTCCGGTTCAATACAGTACACAAAATTCGTGATCTGATCCCATCCGTGAAGGATGTCATTCCTGACTTACAGTACCCCGGGGTTTACAAATTGAGTTGTATCTGCGGTGATTGCTATATCGGTGAGACAAAGCGACATGTCTCTGACCGAATTCGCGAGCACAACTCAGATTTGAAACACGGCAAAACGAATTCTTCTGCCGTGGCTGATCACTGTTACAACGCTGTGGGTGATCACGATATAATTTTCTCCGATACCAGGGTTCTTTGCAAACCCACGGGTTTTTATCAGAGATTTGTTCACGAGGCAATTCAGATCTACAAACACAGACACAATTTCAACCGAGAAGATGGTTTCAAATTAAGCAACCATCGGAAAGATGTTCTAAATCGACCTAAACATTAAACTAATTTCAATGGTACAGTATATTTTTCTAGTGGTACTCCAAACTTTCGCAGCTCTTATAAATTCCCTTTTCACACCATCAATAGGTAAACTCCCCCTCCCCCCGTTCATCATGCTAAGTCGGCCAATTAAATGCTAATTTTTATGCTAATTCCTTTGTCAGGGCACCTTAATTCCTCTCACACAAGCTTAAAGGTTGCGGTCTGAGCTTGGCTGTGTTCACTCCAGCGCTGTCCTCGAGACAGTCTGGTCCCTTCACCTGATGAAGGCCACTTGTGTTGTGGCCGAAACGTCGTGATTTTTTTCTATTTTTTTGTTTTATACTTTAACGTGACTTTACGGAATAGAACCAAAGAGTATATAACCAGTCCATCAACAAATGTACATCAAATCTATATACAGAAATAATACCCTCACTTTGTCTTATGGCTCTTACAGTCCTCATTGCTCCTGAGATGGTTCTTACCGTAACATTTATCTTAATGTCCACCAATTTGGGGTGAGATAATTGAGTCCATACGGGTGCACAGTATTCCACTAGACAGGCCCGCCATTTGTAGTGACCGGGCACCGGCACCGCACGTTGAGCCAGCCAGCCAGGCTAGCAGTTTGACGAGGGTAACTTAGCAAGTCTTATCTAGGTGAGAACACTACGTCAGGCTCCTGTACAACGTCACTCCAAGGGACACCGGCTGTTACAGGTACGACAGCCCCGGCGGAAACCAGCTTGAGTTTAAATTTTCTCAGCTATGCAAAGGCAAATAAACAGAAATGTGTTGTTTTAACTTCAAATCAGAAACTGGATATACCTAAATTGCTTAGTTTTTATTCAATAGAATTTCGTAAGATAAATACCTTCATTATGAATTTGTTGTTTAACTCACTTTTCTTAAGTGGAACGTAATTTATACCTATTTAATGACAATAGCGTCTACATGCGCCGAGTGCAATAGTGGCCACAGGTCATGCCAGGGGTTTCAGTTGAGAGTCAACAGACTGGTGGATACAGGATTTATCGAGGACGGTAGTCTACAGGTGGAGCAAGCATCCAGTCAGCAAGAAGGATCATGAAGGGGTGTGGCCTCAGTTGGTCTACAAGGGAGATGCCCTGGAGACTTTCGGCCCTTGCAGTCAGGTCAAGTGAACGGGTCTTCAATGTAGTGCCATCAAGAGACACGTGGAAATCGTCATTACACCTGTATAAGTTATTTTAGGAATAGATCCACAAAATCCATACTTTTTTGGTTATCAACTGTCATTAGCGCAGACAATGGAGAGTTGGGTTCTATAAAGGCTATCGTAGTTGTGCACTTTTGACATCTTATCCTACACGGATACATCACCTTTACGAGGTTACTATATGGATTAAGATGGGTAAGCAAGAAACGAGAAGGGTGGATGGGAAAGTAAAATGCGGTGGTGGCAAAGGAATAGAATACACGATGGAAATTAAATTAATAGATTGATGGGTGACCATGTGGAGGTGGGGACCGGGAACACAAGAGGAGTGGGGAGCAAAAGGTTCAGCTATGAGAATAAGTGGGGTTTTGGAGGAAGCTCGGATGTCAGACAGCGTTTGTTATAACGCCCCCTACCTATACTCGCTTCTGTCCAGTGTTCTTTAAAATGATTGTCAGAAGAACAGTCTAGTCCAATTAACCTTTCCAGTCCTAATGTTGCGTTATATCGAGTCTTGTACCAAGATATGCTCGATCCATTAGTGGCAAAATGCTGTAAATTGCATTGGCTTTTATTTTCCAGGGAGACCGTCGTCGTGGGAAGGGGGCAGCAGCTTCATTTTAAACACGAACTGAACGTGCGAGCGGCAAGTAACGGAGCTGCTTGCATTAAGATCAACCCAAACTGGATCTTTCAAGGCAGTGTTTATTTCAGTTTTTAACCAGGAGACAAGCATGCAAGGCGACTAGGTGGAGCCGTTGTGCAACAAGCACCATTCATGCCAATATATTCATTTGAATCTTTGCTTTATTCAATGGCACGAATACATGTTAAACATCTGCATCACTTCTTAGCCAGCATCCTCTTCGAAGCAAAGCCCAGGCCCAAGAGGATGATGGAAGCAACTGCTGCAATGGCCACCACACCAGGGTAGTTCAGGATCTCCGCTGTAAGGGAGGCAATAGATGGGGCAGCAGGTAAGGCGATGTCAGAAATACATTTTACAATTAGAACACTAGGATGCATTCAAAATTGGGAAATCAATGAAGAAATATGCAAGAGGAATTAATTCTAGCTTGCTGGATTTACACTTTGGATAGAGGGCCTAGAGTATTGAAATAGAGACCTGGCCTAAAGCAAGTGCAAATCATTATCATGTTGCTTTGGAAACCAGCACGACGCTAATGATAGGGCAACGCACAGCGGGATAGGGCGGCATCCTCGCTGTAGACAAAGGGTCCTCTGGTGAAGATGTAGACCGGGGTATCCACGGTTCCCAAGCTGCTCCTCCTCTTCCTGGCCAGACATCCTTGCTGGCAGCGAGAGGCAGTCAAAGAAGCCTTGCAAGCTATCATTGCAGCGTGGACGTACACCTGCAAAGCATAATGAAAATAGGGAGGTTTTTATAAAAAAAGCACTTCCAATAAGGTGATAGGAACGCCCCAGACACACCGAAAAGTCCTGCCAGGTTTGAATGTACAATCTAATTAGCAAGCAACGTTTCACCATAGGGACTGTTGGGCCAGTCGAAGTTGAAACAAGTGTTGATAAAATGAGAAAACGCATTCCCAAACCGACGTCCTAAATTAGACAAATGTTTGCAAGTTGTAAATTTTCTCCAGGACATTCTTGATGCAAGGCAAAGCGTAGCCAAGGCTAGATCCTACCACTCGAAGTTCACGATCGCGTTTAGCATGGTGGGACGTTGAGCTCACGTATTTTGTATCTTGAGCAGTGAAGGCGAAGGCTGGGAAGGTGAAGCGGCGGGCAGTGGCGGTGATGGTGACGTTCACGGTGCTGTCACGCAGACAGCTAGAGAGAGAAGGGCCACAGATTAAAACAGGTGGTAGGCTCTAGTACATTTAAGCCAGAGTGAAACACTAGAGAAGAGACAAGCTACGCACCCCTCTTTCACGAGATAGTATTTCCGCGGATCAAGGGGGTCACTGGTGGGAGTTGCGTACAGGTCGACGGTGAACAGGGTAAGGCCGAGGCCAGTCTTGAGGGACATCTGGAGATAGAGGGTTTGGCGCAGCTGCACCACTAGGGGGTAGTCGGTGGGCAGGTATGGCGCCAGGAACGTAAAGCTTTTGTAGAAATCCATCTTCAGTTCCAGTTCAGCATACACGGTTTGGTTGAGCACAACCTTTGTGCTGTTGGGCTGGAGTGCCGAAGACGACAAGAGCTTCGTCCTTGGAATCTTGCAGCTATTATAAAAATGAAGGGGATAATAAATGGAAGAGCATCAGTGTCTAGGTCTGAACAAATGAAATCCTATAATTACAATAGTAGAGTTCAATTCAAACTGTTGCGCAACAAGTACTTGTTCACGTGACCAAATGGATTACGTGAATAAGTACCAACAATCATGTTTTTCAGTTGGGCAGCAAGTTTTAAAACGATTGACATATTTAGCTTTTGGATTAGATCTTTAATTAGAAGGCATGCCAATCAGGGCAATATCCAGGAAATTAACATAAGGGTAACCACGACAGGCTTGGTCACGCCATTACGTGGAATGGCAAGAACGCAGTTTAGAAGACGGCGAGAACGTACGCGTCAAGCATGGATTTTGGTTACATACATTGCATTGACCATGATGTACACGAAGTCGTAGGTGATGATGCCAAACGTGGTGCTGGGCAGAGAAATCGTTTGAGAGAAGACGAGGTCTGTGCTCGTTTCCTGTAGTGGGGAAGACACATGGCACATTAGATTTGTTTTAAAAAAGCAGGCTCTTAAGATAAAGCACTTGGGAAAAAGTTTAATATTAGAGACCTCAAAGAAGGTGCCGCATTCTCCGAGCGAGATATTGAACGTGATGTACGGTCCAGTTTCCGACAATTTGCATGCAGGAGTTGCAGAGTTCATGACGAGATCAGAAGCGCCGTAGCCCAGCAGGACGCTTTTCGCGATCTTGGCAGACATCCTCTCATTGACGCACTGCACCTCGTAGGTGACACCTGTACACCAGTCCATTAGGAGACCCAGGACATCATCTTCACAAAAGTTCGCAGCACATGGATATGAAGTGGGTCTAATAGACCGCAAAATACTCATTAGGAAGAACAAAGCAGAGCATTTTAACAAGTTTCTGAAATGAGACTCAAACAATCGCGCAGGCCAAAATAATTAGAGCCAATGCCAGTACATTGAATATTGGTTATTTTTTTCCAACTGGTTGGTGCTGCGGTTTCAAAGACTAGTCCATTCCTGAGCTGGTGCACGACATTAAGCAGAGCAGGTTCCGTACACGAAATACTGCACCCGATAAACATATCATAGGTTCAACCACCTACAGCTATATCTATGGTTTTATATATATATATATTTATTATTTTATTGTTTCCCTTCAACATGACTTTACTGAAAGAGGTAAGAATATAGCTATATCTACATTAGAGCAGCACATTCTTTCATGACCGCGCTCTGAAGTAGTTAGGGAGGGGCTGGTAGGAGCGTTGGTTGCTCGGTCAGCAGCCAGGGTCAACGGCGGCGTGGTGCATTCCGCAAATATGCCCGACTGAGGGAAGACAAGCAGGCGTGAGTAGGTTACACGTTGACTTTTATAAGGGCACCACGGGGTGACTATCCCCTCCCCACCCAGCCTCTACCCCTCTACATCTAGTCCCTCCACTTTTTTTATATTCGAATGTCCGGATAAACGTGGACACACATCCACAAGATTTAATCCCGGTTGCGCTTCCAGTCCACTACGCTTCGTACCAGTACCACCAGTACAAATGGGCGCTAAGTGGCGAAGTTTATATATCCAGATTCACGTGGACAGACATCCACAATTAATCCCCTGCCTCCTGTGAATTAATCCCAGTTGTGCTTCCAGTCCATACAAGGGCACCACGGGGTGACCAGCCCCTCCCCACCCAGCCCCATCCCTCCCAGCCCCACCCCACGTGGACAGACATCCACAATCAACCTCCTGCCTCCTGTGAAATAATCCCAGTTGGTCTTCCAGTCCACTACATTTCCTACCAGTAATATTACCAATATACACACCTGCTCGTCACCTGCACCTCCAAGCACATAATTTCGTCACCACCTTTGGAAAACTTCAGCAGTTGCACAATTGAACACAATAAACGCCACAACAGACCCTATGGCGCAGATATAGTCCAAGGCATCGGAAGTGTGATGACCCTAGTGGCAGTCATGTTAACGTGTAAAGCATTGCTTATACCTGCTGGGACCGTAGATGGGGGCAATTCCTCATCATCGATCGCCCTCATGCCACGATTGGCAGCTCGATGTCCTTGAGAAAATCGACAGAACAAAGGTGGAGTTAATGTTGCATCAAAATACGAGTGCAACATCCCGTATACTCGTACAACAGCGTATCTTACATTTAGTCATGAAGCTTGTTTGACCATGGTTAGGCACACTATGTCAAGAGCAAACCTTTCCCATTTTGCTAACCAAGAAACGTAACTGAAAGTTATAGAATTGAAATAAAAAACACATGTCAGTTCACTCTAAAGTCAGATGGAAGTTCAAAGGAATACAGATGCAATGAGAGTTGCTTACCCCTACCTTACAGCGCACCAAGCTCGTAATTACTCAGCTTAACATACAATCGGTATTGGTCAAACATTCTAATGCTAGAAAGGTCCACCAAAACCCTGCCGATGGCAGGGGGATACGTCGGAAAACTCACAAATGATTAAATTTGCGATGAGTGACGTTTAATTTTACTCAAATGGAATCACACATGAAATCCATCCTAGTGTGAAGCTTGCCAGTCAATGCGCAAAAGGAGACGCGATTCCCAATGATGCTTTCGTGACTACACAAAATACGTAATGACCAGATAAAAACAAAAACAATTCAATCCTGCACTGCTTAACGAGTTTCCCCATGGAGTTCTGTCGAACCCTCAACGATTTTTTTTCCCAAGTGAGGGACTATGCAATGAGCACAGTGCGAAATCCTCACCCACGAACCCAGAATCCGCAGACAAAACACCCACAGCACAGAGCACCACCACCCAACGAAGAAAAACCGCCATCTTAATGCTCACGCGAGATAACCTGAGTGGGTGTCTTGTTCGGCCATTTATAGTCGCTAAGCGTTCCCTCTGATTGGTGGCAGTGGCACGCTGTTCAATTAACTTTCGAGCCACTTATTGATGACTTTGTGTTTCGATTGCAATGCACTTACATGAGTCTGGTATGCACGCATTTCCCGTCAATGAAGAAGCGTACACTACCTTGTATTTAGGTGAATGAGAACAGCCTGCAAGGTCATAGTAATTAGGTTATTTGATTACATTACAATAATATGAGCTGTGGAATCACTTTTATTACTTTTATTGAATGTGTTGAAATTGTATGCGTGACTGATTATACTCCATCAAATAGATAATTAAACGTATTTATATGTGTCCGCATCTTGCAAGCTCGGCAGGGTTGAACTTGGTTTGTGTTTGGATGATTGAGCGTCAGTGCATTAGGCCACAGATTGTAGAGCAGCTGGGATATAGCAGAACAGCAATCTTCTTCTTTCGTGTGGCTGATGTACATGCAGAGCAACAACTACAATTTCACCTGAACCTAACAGTTGTCTGGCGCATCTTGCTCCCACATATTTACAGTCTTTTTAGATTCACGTGTGTGTTTGGCAGAGATGAAAATAAACTTGACTTACATCTGTACCTAACTTTTTCTGGTACCTCTTGCTCTCATTATATTGAGTAGACGTGAGCCCCCATTGCCACACAGCCACTCTGCAGCCTCCTCCTCCTCCAGCACGTGTGGGGCAACCACTCTGCACTGACGCACTTCACAGCCAAAAATAATGTGCGCAATGGTGTCCTGCTCCCTGCATTCACACGGTGACGTGTCACGTAGGCCCCATCGAATTTCGGAAGCGGCACAAACTCCCTGGTCACACCGCAAGCGGTTTAACTCCACCCATTGGTGCCTTAAGAGGTCGAAACCAGGCATCTGGACGGATGGACCACTTGAGGTTTTGTTCGGCACTTTCACGGCTCTCCATTCGTCACTCCAGACAGTGCGGGTATCGCACATACTCCACTCTTCGGACTGTGGTATTGCCGACACTGGGTGTCGGGACTTCATGCACACAGTTGGTCGCTGGAAAATGTCGACGTGAAGGGGTAAAGCTAGTGCCACGTGTAGTTTGTCTAGCACAGGGGTGTCCAAACTTTTTTTCCCGAGGGCCACATACAGAAAAATATACGAAGGACTGGGCCACTCACTGGATGTGAGGTATACTGCCCACTTCTCATGCACTAATATTGGCAAAATCAATCAAATGCAGGTAAAATACGTTTGATAATTGAACATGTTTGAAGAAAAAAGCCTCCATCATAGTTCTCCATTAGTAGATTTTCATTGCATTTTTTCCAAAAGTTGGCAGGTCATTCTCTCAGTGACAGCCTCAGTTTGGTTCTTATGGTGCTGATTCCCCTTCATTGTCCTGTATGAAGGGAGAGACACGAAGAGAAATAGAGGATGTGAATATTTCAACTTTGTTACACAAATAAATTATTGGGCTTGTTAACACATCAACTAACGTTTGTTAAAAAAATGACTTAATTTATTTTGTAATTGGGCTTATTAACAAATGAAAACTGCGTATATTTTTTACTTACCTGTAATGGGAAGAATGTTGCGCTCAATGGGAGCAGTGATGCTGCGCTTTGTTCTGAAGGATAGCTGGCAGGTCAGGAGTAAGTTTGGTGGTTGAGATGCGAAGGACGTCACGGAGATGGCTGTCGGTCGTTCTGGTTCTCAGTCTGCTTTCATTCAGCGTTAACAGAGAGAATGTCTGCTAACAGATGTATATTGAGCCGAACAAACTCATCATTCGTTTTGTGTGTCGTCTCATCAGAGGAAACTTGGCCTTTTCCCAGCTCTGGTAGAAGTCAGGTAGGGAGAGAAGCTAATTAGTTTAACACGTAGGCTTTCGCGACCAATATTATTCATAATAAAGGTTATTGGGTTAGATCGTGTTTTTTATAAATGTGTCGTAACCCTCCACCACCCGACACGGCCAATCAGCAAAAAAGTGTCACGTTGACAAGAGACAATTAGTTCACTACTTTAGCCCACCGGTGTGTTGAAGAGTGAATCCACAACATTTACAGTTTGAATACAACGTTTCGCTGGTAATTACATCCAGCATCATCGGGCAATTCGCCAGAATGGTAAAGCCCTCATTTGCTCCCGGTCTTAAATAGAGCAGCAGAGTGACGTCATCATTTAACTCATTCAGGTGCAGTAATTATATAATCAATTGGTAATCAGTCAATGGTTATAATTAGTAATGAGTTGTAGATTAGTAATTAGTTGTAATATGTGTTATTGTGATTATATGTTACGTTAGTAATCTGTTAATTAGTATGTGTTTCCCTTATAAGGAATCGTAATACGTATTATTTAATAACACTCTTCCAAGCCGCACTAAGCCTAAAGCTATCAGAGCGATTAAAGTTCGTGATTTGACATTCAAATCACGAACTTTAATCGCATAGATGACTAGACACGAGGTTGCCAAAATAATTGAGAATAGCAAAGTTCCAAAAGTAAATATTAGCTCTAACGAAGCAAAAGCCTTCAGAGAGCTCCGTGTAAATAAAGATATCTAAATCCTGGCAGCTGATAAAGGCCGCACTACTGTAGTGATGTCACGAGCCGATCATGATAATACAATTATACATTTAGTAGAGGAAAGCACCTACATTAAAATTAAATGAGATCCAACTAATACTTTAGAACGTAAGACTACTGCAATAATTGCAAATTCATTAATCCCTAAGAATGAGCAACACCAAATTAAGCCAAGGGCCTCAAAACCACCTAGACTGTATGGGCTACCAAAGATTCATAAAATCGGCATCCCATTACGACCCATAGTCAATACAATTGGCTCTGCCACTTATAAATTAGCAAAATATATAACTAAACAAATACAGCCCTACATCGGTAGGACATCTTCATGCATAAGAAATTCAGAACATCTTGTGAATGTGATTAAAGATTTTGATTTAAAGCTTTCGTGACTGCAGGGATTCATATTCTTGGTTCTTTCGGTAAAGTCACGTTGAAGGGAAACAATACATTTTATTGTTTTTTATATTTTATTATTTTATTGTTTCCCTTCAACGTGACTTTTCCGAAAGAACCAAGAATATGTGATTAAAGATATTAAACTTAATCCTAATGATATTCTGGTAAGTTTTGATGTGATTTCTCTAGTCACTAAGGTTCCAGTGAACGAATCGCTTAAATTACTTGATAAACTAGTAAAGAATACAGGTTTACCAAAAGATATTCCAAAACTTGCTGACCGTTGTTTAAATAACACTTACTTCTTATGGAAAGGGGATTTCTTGAAACAAAAGGAAGGAGCATCAATGGGCTCTCCTTTATCTCCTGTTATAGCAAATCTGTACATGGAAAACTTTGAAATAAGAGCACTTGCCTCGAGCACATTAAAACTATATTTTTGGTTTAGATATGTGGAGGACACTTTGGTTTCTGGCCACATGGTAAAGATACACTTAATGATTTTCTAAACAATCTCAATGCACAAAACCCGACCATCCAGTTCACCATGGAAATGGAGGTAATAACACACTCCCGTTACTAGATATTTTGCTTGGACATGCCCTTAACGGTAAAATAACACAGCGTTTACAGAAAGCAAACGCACACTGATGCCTATCTGAATGCATATTCGCATCATCATCCAGCTCAGAAATCCTCTCTTATCAAGACGCTCATACATCGGCCTAAAACAGTGTCAGATGGTGAAAGTATAGTCTCTAGTGAGAGAGATCAAACACGTTAAAGAAGCATTACGACAGAATGGCTACAATAATACTCAAATTAACAGAGCACTGAATGCCAAATCACAATCGCAAAGCAACACTGATTAAAGTGATCATATTGTTAAAACAATTAAAATTCCATATATCTCAGGAGTAACTGACAAATTAGCCCCATATTTTGCAAAAGCAAAACATTACAGTTAGATTTGGTAAAGTACACAACATTCAAAAACTAGTATCTTGCACTAAAGACGAATTACCTAAATAATCAACAGAAGGTGTATATCGGATTAATTGTTTATGTTTATTGGACAAACGGGACGTAACATCAGCATAAGACTAAAAGAACACCAAAGAAATAAATGATCTCAAACACAACTGTCGGCAGTGGCAGAATATACTTGTCAACAAGGACACTCAATTGATTTTGATAACGTTGAAGTGTTGTGTAAAACTAATTATTACTGGCAAAGACTAATTAGAGAATCCATTGAAATTGAGAGAAATAGAAATAACTTTAATCGCTCTGATAGCTATAGGCTTAGTGCGGCTTGGAAGCATATTATTAAATAATACATGTTACAATTCCTCATAAGGGAAACACATACTAATTAACAGATTACTAACGTAGCATATAA